TATAATTACTCCCTTGACTCTGCTGGCAAAGAGGGGAAGAGAACCTGTGGCTTAGTGGCTAAATCACTGCCTAGTATGTATAACTTTCCAGGTTCGAATCCCATAAAGGGTATGGCTAACTGATGAAGGCAAAAAAGCCAGAAATGGTCCATCTTAGTCTCCCAATTTAATTCTTTACTCTTTGTCAGAAAAAAGAAATGATAAAATCTACAGAAAAAAATGGGGGAAAATAAATTTCACATCTAGTTAGTATGTCTCAGATTAGGAGTTCAGTAACACATGAGTAAATCTCCAGATTTAATCTTTGACATCTTCCTGAAATCCTGAACAGCTGCCACTAAGCAGAGGGTAGAATGTGTCTGTTGGAATCTTCCCAGGAAACATATGTGCAAGTAGGATTAGGATCAAGTGTGCTTTTAAAATTATTATACCATCTGTTTCCTAGGCCGATGGAGTAACTCGTACAAGTTGCCCTACAGTTGGATGGGAACAGGCCATGCTGTCTTTAATGGTTCTCTCTACTACAACCGAGCCTTCACCCGCAACCTCATTAAGTATGACCTAAAGCAGCGCTATGTGGCTGCCTGGGCCATGTTGCATGATGTAGCCTATGAGGAGGAGACCCCTTGGCGTTGGCGCGGCCATTCAGATGTAGATTTTGCTGTGGATGAAAATGGCCTATGGATCATTTATCCTGCCATTAATTATGATAGCTTCAACCAAGAGGTGATTGTCCTCAGCAAACTCAATGCCATGGATCTGAGCACCCGTAAGGAGACCACTTGGCAGACGGGTCTGCGCAAGAACTTCTATGGCAACTCCTTTGTCATCTGTGGTGTCCTCTATGCTGTTGACAGCTACAACAAGAGAAATGCTAATATTTCATATGCATTCGACACACACACCAATACCCAGATCATCCCCCGCCTGCTCTTTGAAAATGAGTATTCCTACACCACTCAGATAGACTACAATCCCAAGGATCGGCTCCTTTATGCTTGGGACAATGGCCACCAGGTTACTTACAATGTCATTTTTGCTTATTAAGGACACAAGGGAGTGATTTTAGTGGGCCACAGCACCTTTTTTATATAAACATGCTTGTTTTTAATTCTATAAATCAGAGTAAATGTGTGGGTTTTAAAAAAGTTTTTTAAAAATAAAATTGGACTGTAGAACAGTCCATATACCAAATCAACCCTTTTATTTTGGGTATACAGTAACTTTTTATATTGAATATATTGCCTACCCTGAAACAATGGGACCTCTGTCTTCATTAACTCTGCCAAGTGCAGACACCCCAAAGGGGAAAACCACAGGTCTTTTGCCTTTTCTTATTGTAATAGAAAATTTGGTTTGGATGAGAAACCCCTCCAAAGTTAACATTTTATAATAAAATATCAGTGTTGAAACTCAATAAACTAATGTCCTGTTCACATTTCTGCTGTTACTCCATGCTTCTCTTTTCTTCTTATCAGCTCCTACATGACTTTATAGGGTTTCTGCCTAAACTGCTGTGGTTTTTTTACATTCACTTTATAGTTCAGACTGCAATTCTGTGGTATTTGGGAGGCTCCAGGAGCTGTAATACTGTAACCTTCATCATTTGCAGGCAGAGAGAAAGATGTGCTGTTCCTTTGGCTGAGGACAGAAGGGTTCATAACTATGCCTCCACTACTCGGGGTGCTCTGATCTGCAGATGATAATTGCAAAGGGGGGGGGAGAGAAAGATTTGAATCTGCAAAGTTAATCCCCTTTCTGAAGGTTGTTTACCTGGAATACAGGAAAAACTATCCATAGCTGGATAGTGCCAACCCCCATCTGCCATGGCAGGCAGCTTAATCCATAGAAGCCTGTCCTAGATGATAGATGCAGATCCTTTAGCCCCCGCACTCCCTTGCCTCAGTGCTGGTGTAGTGGCTGGATTCAACACCCAGGAGTTGGCAAAAAACTGAACTAGCAGGAAATCTTCTGCTTCTAATTGTTTAACACAGAGATGAGTCAATTGTTTGTGATGAAAAATTAATTGAGCAAAGCAAGGACATAATGGTAAGAGTTGTTTAATGTTAAACAGGCAACGTTTGGTAGCATCAAGAATGGATCTTGGAGGAAAATGCATATGGGAGAAAAGCAAGCGTAAACAACTGAATGAGTGCTTACTTAGTATCATACTTAGCTCGGTATGGGTCAGTTCCATTTTCGGAGTGTTATCCTGTTGACAGATAAGGCAAATGGACAGAATCCTGAGGCTCTTTGCATAATTTATTTCCAATGAGTCATTGGATAGAAGAAACGCAGACAAAAATGCTCTGGATGAGGAAAAGCACATTTCACAGCATGGTTGCTGCAAAAAATGAGGATGAGAAAAAGCTATTTGAAATACGTATAGAAAGAAAAAGCTGCAGAAGACAGATGAAAGTTAAAAATGATTAAATTAAAAGAATCAACAACGTAGAGTGATTTTGATAGGAACAAAGGAATTGGTTTGGAAATGGATGAAATGGATTAAACAAACCATTGTCAACAGAGTGAATGGTATTAAAAATAAAAGTGACGAAATTGTCTAGGATGAAACTAAAATGAGGGAATGTGTAAAAGAGTATTTTAGAGGCTTGGGTGGGGATGTTAAAGATTGGGAATGAAGCAAATGCTGTTTATCCAAGTATGAAATCAATCAATCAATCAATCAATCAATTAAAGGATTGTTCATCTGCTACATGTAGCATCTTCCCCCAAAACCTTAAGTGGTGCCTAGTGAGTATGGAAGAGTGGACAAATGGAAATTGATGAAGTCTTCCTGCAAAATTCCTTCCTAATGATGACATTTTCAAGATACAATCCATTCTTGGTAAGGTGCTTTCACCAAGGATAACCTCAATCATCTCTTGGTCAACTGAACTTATGTCTACGTAAGTACTCCCACAATTACAGCTTTTGTCATTAAAAATATATCATTTGTTGAAATTGTTTCCTCTCACCTTTGCTAATACTTGGCTTTTACATTATTGAAAGATTACCACAAGCATCCTGGAAAACAGCAAATGTATCCAGGGAATTTGCTTGGGGGAAGCATACATTTAAAGGTATCTTTACATTTGGCAAGAACAGTGTCTTTCCCTGAATAAATTCAGACACAAAAGGGGAGTTGCAAATCATGACATGCCTCTGAAATGTGCTTTTATTATATTAAATAAACCTATAGATAGTAGGGATAGGAGAATGTGACTGTGAATTTGGATACACACACACACACACACACACACACACACAAGTGACAATTATTGACAATTTCAGCTATTTTATAATAGTAGTAGTAGTAGTAGTAGTAGTGATAGTAGTAGTAGTAGTAGTAGTAGTAGTAGTAGTAGTAGTAAAGTTGGAAGGGACCTTGGAGGTCATCTAGTCCAACCCCCTGCTCAGGCAGGAAACCCTATACCATTTCAGACAAATGACTGTCCATTCTCTTCTTCTTAAAAACTTCCAGTGTTTGAGCATTCAATGCTTCTGGAGGCAGGTTGTTCCACTGGTTAATTGTTCTGTCAGGAAGTTTCTCCTTAGTTCTAGGTTGCTTCTCTCCTTGCTTAGTTTCCATCCGTTGCTTCTTGTCCTGCCTTCTGGCGCCTTGGAAAATAGCTTAACTCCCTCTTCTTTGTGGCAGCCCCTGAGACATTGGAACACTGCTATCATGTCCCTCCTCGTCCTTCTCTTCATTAAACTAGACATAACCAATTCCAGCAGCCTTTCCTTATATGCTTTAGCCTCCAGTCCCCTAATCATCTTTGTTGCTCTTCTCTGTACTCTTTCTAGAGTCTCAACATCTTTTTTACATTGTGGTGACCAAAACTGGATGCAGTATTCCAAGTGTGGCCTTACCAAGGCATTGTAAAGTGGTATTAATACTTCACGTGATCTTGATTCTATCCCTCTGTTAATGCAGCCTAGCACTGTGTTGGCCTTTTTGGCAGCTGCAGCACACTGCTGGCTCATATTTAAGTGATTGCCCACTAGGACTCCGAGGTCCCTCTCACAGTTATTGAGCAAGGTATCCCCTATACTATACCTGTACATTTGGTTTTTCTTGCCTAAATATAGAACCTTTTTTCACCATTGAATTTCATTTTGTTAGATAGCGCCCAATGTTCAAGTCTGTCCAGATCCTCCTGTATCCTAAGCCTGTCTTCTGGAGTGTTGGCTATTCCTGCCAGCTTGGTGTCGTCTGCAAATTTGATGATTTCCCCATCTATCCCCTCGTCCAAATCGTTGATGAAGATGTTGAAGAGCACTGGGCCCAGAACAGAGCCCCGGGGCACCCCATTACACACTTCCCTCCATGTAGATGCGGTTCCATTGAGGACCACATGCTGAGTACAGCCGGTCAGCCAGCTACAGATCCATCTGGTGGTGGTGCTGTCTACCCCACATTTTTCTATCTTGTCAAGTAGTAGGTTGTGATCTACTTTATCAAATGCCTTACTGAAGTCCAAGTAAATTATATCCACAGCATTCTTCTGATCCACTAATTTTGTCACTTGGTCAAAGAATGCAATAAGCTCTGTCTGCCTTGGTTTCCTGGTCTGTGATGCAACATCTCTTTTGATTCCTTCTTCTGCCTGGTTATTGTTTTAGCACTTGGCAATGAAGGGTGGCTGTCCTCTAGTCTAAGTGAAAGAATTGCACCTTCCTCTGAGCTGGCAGCACATTCCCTCCAATGCTGATGAAGCCATTGAGACGAGGAGAAATTCTACTGTGGGATGTAAATCTGTATGAGCCCCAGCTATGGTCTCCTTCAGCTGCAATGGGATCAAGCAGGGTCAATCACCCTACCCATAACCAATGCTCTGTTTGGGTTTCAGAGTGATTTTATTTCATATTTTGGGATGGCACTCTAGTATCTATTGAAAGGCATGAATAATAGACTATAAAATGCAACATCCACACAATCAAATAGAATAGAACTGGAAGGGACCTTGGAGGTCTTCTAGTCCAGCCCCCTGCTCAAGCAGGATCTATACCATCTCAGACAAGTGACTACAGTATTTAGCCTATTTTTAAAAATCTCCAGTGATGGAGTGCCACGATTTCTGAAGGCAAGCTATTCCACTGGTTAATTGTCCTCACTGTCAGAAAGTTTCTCCTTAATTCCAGGTTGCCTCTCTCTCTGATCAGTTTCCAACCATTGTTTCTTGTCCTGCCCTCTGGTGCTTTGGTGAATAACGTGACCCCCCTCTTCTTTGTGGCAGCCCCTTAAGTCTGGGATACTGCTATCATGTCTCCCCTATTTCTTCTTTTCTTTAGTCTAGCCAAACCCAAGTCCTGCAGCCGTTCTTAGTATGTTTTAGTCTCCCAGGCCTTGGATCATCTTAGTTGCTCTTGTCTGATTTTTTTTCCAAACTCTCAACATCTTTTTTTGTGATATGGTGACCAAAATTGGTTGCAGTATTCCAGGTGTGGTCTTACTAGGGTTTTATAAATACTTCACGTGATCTTGATTCTATGCTTCTATTTATATAACCCAGGATTGTATTAGCTTTTTTGGCGGCTGCTGCAGGTGAAAAATATGCTTGTGCTTTGAACATTCTACCCCAGGGTTGTTAGGAAGGCAATTTCTGATTTGCTGAGTAATCCTAAAGCATCAGTGTTGAAGCTCTTTGCTCAATTGAGAAAAGCAGTAATCTCCCCAAAGAGGGGTGCCTTCAATCATTATCTTCTATATTCTGCAAAACTGAGGATAGTGCTTGGAGGACAGGAAAGGAAAAAAGGAGGAACAAGGAGGGGTAGTTGGTAGATGGACTAAGAACTCTTTAGCCAAGAGATGAGGGAGACTTTGAGAGATTGGGGCAGTCTATAATACATACTTCTTATTAGGGAAGAAGGGGCCTGCGAGAGTGAAGTTGAAATGATTTCCCAGTTTGTAATAGGGAATGATCCTCAGTCCCGAGTTTTATATTTTTAACACTTTCACAAAGTTATCTGAGCACACTAACTCCCATTTATTTCTTAGTTATGTTGTTTACTCGTAATCCTGCCAATGTTCCATTAAACTGCCTTCCTTACTGCTCTAGGCAGTATTACAGTATCCTGTAACAGGTGAATTCAATGGCATGCAGATATAAAAACAAATACCACAGCTCTACATGTATATTTTATTTATTTTTTGGAAGAGAATCTAAACATAGAGTAGTAATTCTTGAATGTGATGTCCCAGTAGTAGGATAATTTCGATTCCAGGTATCTTGTTTAAAGACCAAAAACAAAAGACAATGCAATTGCTCTTCCAACAGTAATTACAGATAACAAAAACGATTTCTTATTCAGATGTTTCAAAGAAATAAGCACAATATTGAAACAAGGAAATAATTTAATTACCAAAACAAACAGATAAACCAAAAAAGCACATTAAGTACAAACTTAAAAAAATTGTTAAGAGTAGGCCATTGAATTCAGTGTCTCTTAAATTAACTAAACCTACTTTACATCATTACTCAAAGCACAGATCCAACCTAATGTGCAAGATATTATTTTAACATTGCTTAAAGATGTTACAGTCTTTAAAGAAAACACCCAAGACATCTTAGGTTTTTGTGAAAGTGTTGTCCATATACTTTCTCAGAAGAGGAAGGCTGTTTGTTTTTAATAAAGTGTTCTGCAAAGAATTGTATTTCCAGCACAGCAATAAAAAAGCAACACTGGACATTTACTCAGCCAAAGGCAGTCGGCCAATTTTGGACAGGCAATATTGAAGAAATGCTGAGGCTGGCAGGAGAACAGCTCAAAACTGATTTCCACAGTTGGCCAGACTAGAGATGAACAAGGGCCCTCAAGAAGGGAAAGAGTTTTTCAAACAGGAAAGGATACTTAAGGCAGAGAAAAAATAAAGACAAGCATAGTTCTGACTGACTCAAAGTCTTGAATTCTCTTTCCCCCACCCTAGTGATTCTTCTTTTCATAAGGTACATTTTTCCACCAGTAGATACTTATAAGGACTGTAGTCAAGATTATATATTTAGCAAAATTAGATCTGGGATACTTTGATATTCAAGACCACTGCTAGATTTTGGTTGGCAATTAGCTTCATGGACCTATAACGTAGTTTGACTGCAAAAGCTTTTTATTATAACACTAACATATAAGATGCAGAAAAAAATTAGCTGAACTAAAAATGCTTCTCATCTGGCAATTTTTTAATGATCTTGGGTCAGATTAATCTGAAAACCAGGATAACTACCAAGATTTATGTTCAAGATACCAAAGAAAACTTCTAGTAAACTGCTGATCTGTTCCCTACTGTTTTTTAAAAAGTGCACACTCAAACATCTTTTTGTTTATTTCTACAGCATCAAATTGCACATAATATGGATGTCTATAGGGAACATTTAACAGGGAAAAGCTTTCTCCTGATTGTGGCACAAAGGAACATCAGCATCCAAGTGAACAACGCCTTCTTTAATCAAATAATGTTTACAAAACATTACTCAATTTCCAGTAAGAGCCAGACAAATTTTCTCTAAAAAAATAGAATTGTTTTGTCCCTCAAGAGAAAACAATTCTGAGATCCTTAGCTCCATATACACTGCAACTTCTTGTGACAGAAATTAATTTTTAACAAGTAATTTCATGCTATTGTCAAGGCAGGGTTATGCATCGTGCTTCCGATGTTTTGTATATCAATGTTCATAGCGCTCTACAGAATAACTAATAAAAAAGGATTCTTGCCATGTGAGAAGCCTACTGTACACAACACAAACAAGAAATGTGGCAGAGCAGGTGGAAAATATGGGGTGAAGTTGACTTGGACCTAATTGTGCTGCCAGTTTCTTTTTTTGTTCTGTAAGGATTTTAGTTTTATGCTGTTCAATTATTTTGCTACTGGTTTATAGTGGGTTGTTATCTTTAATTTTGTTAGGTTTTGTCCAGTCACTCTTGATGCTTTTGAAGAAAGACTTCAAATATATATATATATTCAAATTTACATATCATTGACTTTACCTTACTTATATCCAGTAGTTGATGTGTGTAAATAACAGCACAGAAAATAAATAAAGCTGATAGATTTTCAGGTTAAAGTATACACATGTAATATTACAACTCCTATGCAATCTGTTATCCACAGAAGTTAACATATCAATGAACGAACCCACAACACAGAATTTTGCCCACTCCTTTTCAGGGAAGACTCTATCGCTGTTCATCTCTTGCACTTTCATCCGTCATTATATTGCTCATATGTGTACACTGCTCATACATTTGCATTAATACCCGTTCAATGCCTGAAGTAGTTTTTTGTGGAAGTTGTGATAATCTTTAATAAAGTAGGATTGCAAGATATGAAAGTGGAATTTTGAAGATCAAACAAGGTCACACACATGCAGAAGGGAAGAAAAGCAGACGATGCCTATGCAATGGAAGTTAGCCAATGGAGGTTTTCTTTGCTGAGAGGCACACAAAGTTTTGCCCGTGACTCATACGTTCTTCACTTATTTGAAGAAGCCTTTTACATTCAGAGCTTATTTGTCCACTTCACAAATGCTTAGCCAAGTGCTCCTTCCTCCTCACTAGTCTTACCTTTACTATGAAATCTGTCCTGAGGGTATTTACATCTAAAGAAGGCTCAGATATTTGATAAGAAATAAATACCTTAGTTTATGCAGTATTATGCTCTAGTTTGCATCACCTGCAAATATCTATGCGTCAGGCAACACATCCTCCCTTATTCCAAATAAAAATCTCAAAGTACATCCCAATGTGGGTATCCTATATGCCCAATGTGGGCATAAACTATGTCAATGGAAGAAGTGGAGTGGAAAAGGCAGAGAACCTGTTTTCATTGATCTAGCGCTCTCAATATGAATTGGGGCCTTTCCACTTGAACACACTCTTTTTGATCCTTCCCTGTTGCCAAACCAGAGGACATAAATTATTCTAATAAGCAAATTCATGCAGGAAGCGCATGAAGATGTGCACACATGAACATAGCTTCTCTCTAGAATATCTGGCCTTTGGCTCTCTTCTACAACCTGGGCCAATAAATAAGCGTCACTTGCCCCGATTCCAGTACATTCACTTAATATTTAGCCCAAAGTAATAGGAGTGTAGTGGTCAAAACAAAGCTTTTCATTAGTAATTTTGCAAGTCTCGGTCAATAGGTGCCCTTGAAACTGGTTCAGATACACTCTGACAGAATTTTAATTTCTATAATAGCACTAGAAAGATTTTCCCAGTAACAATACTTTACAAATTTGCACATAATTAAAGGGTGGTATCAACAAAACATCTGTATCTTATGTAACAAATGCAAAACAGCTGGACTGGGCATTTGTTGTATAATAAAGTACCGGGAAAAGCCAGTGTAGGATATAGTACTTTGTCTAGAGACTGAATAAAATAATAAAAAAGTACTGAAAATACAGAGTGTAGCAAAGAATGGCTTAAGCTCTAATTTGGTGAACAAGAATCTGTAGTTCCTTATTTTCCTCCTCCTGGTAAAATGAAGCAGGAATGAAAACCCAGAATAAGATTGAGTAAAGAATGCAAAGTATAAACTCTACAGACAAACTGAAATTAAAAATAAAACAAATATAAATAATTAGTGACAGACAACCTGTATTCCATATGTGGCCCCTACATTTCTTCTTCAGAAACTGCCAAGAAATTGATATTTATTTCTAAGAAGGTAATGGAAAGCAAAGACATTTAGTGCCCATCCCTAATCCCAGGAATTAATTAACCCCACAGAAGCCAAACTTCCATCAATAACATTATTTTACCCATTGCAATTTTAGCATTTCTTTTAACAAAGTGAAGTTCTTAGGCCCATAAATATTGCCTTACAAAGATGGCAGATAATCTAGACAGAGTGGGCGAGAAATTAATTTTTGGCTAGGTCTAAAAGCAGAATCCTGAAATCCAGAAACCTCAAGCTATTGTCTAATACAGGATACTGCCCCTGAAATTGCCATGGCAAACCCACATGGGTCACCTATCTCCCAGCAAGTATGAAAGCCTCATTCTGAGAGCCTACTGGGGTGATTCAGTGATTGTTCTGACAGCAGGAGCTGCCTCTGGAACGGTTGGAGGAGAATGATAAAAGGAAGTTGTGTGGTTCCTCTGCTGTTCTCGAAGGTAAGGTGGGATGGATGAGCTTTTGATGTGCAGGATCCTGGTGTCCATTACTTCAGTGTCTATCTGCATCATAACTTCATAGTCTTGCCCATTAATGATTTTCTCTACAAAAGGACAGAAGAAGGAAGAATTAATCAGAAATAAATATCTTGGGGGTATAAGAGGAAAAAACAACCCATGGTCAACTATATGATAGAGATATATATGAACCAATGACTTCACAGAAGCAATGGTACCCGCAATTTATTTAGAAAAATGGCAGAGAAACAAAAGCAAGAAAGTGATTTAGGACAAATAATAAGCCTACTTCTAAAAGAAGAGTCAAAATATTTTAAAACATCCTGTATATAATAAAGGCTTCACACTTTCAGATTTAGTTATATTATTTATCTTCTTTTGAAGAATGCTCAGCAAATGCTGATGGTTTAGGATCAATTCAAGCAGTATCTAAAAGTCTGAGAATGACACAAGTATTATTGTAATATGGTTTCAAGCAAAGTATTTTTGAAAGCTGAATTTGCAAGATTGAATACTACTTTTTTCAGATGTTTTGATAATTTTATTGTTGTAACTTCTAATACTTCAGTAACTATGGAAAAACTTTTGCCAGTTTATTCTATGGTTAAGCCCCAATATTTTTCAATCTTTTCAGTTCCTTTTGAGATACCCTACTGCCACTTGGTATTATCAATCTATAAGCAACATATTTTTTCAGCTACTGTAATGTCTGATGTATTGCAGTATAATTGAATTTGGAAGTCTCATAACATTTTTGCATGATCATTCTGAGTCATTTTATCAATGTTGTCAGCATACCTATACTTTCACATACTGTCAAATTCATATATTTTAGATACATTCCAGTATATTATTTCTGCCACACATTTATTTTATAAGGACAACTTTGCTACATCTACTTACTGAGTGGTTTAACAGCTTTATATTTTCTTTGCATAAGCTGCATCTGAAGTTGCTTCCAGTTTTTCAAGTTTTTGTTTTTATGTTATTTTTTGCTAGTGTCTATTCTTGAGCTGCAAATTATTAGTCTTACTGTTCCATTCCTGGTGGATGCAGTATGAAGCCACTGCTTTTTATTTCTTTTGACCGTGCAAACCTTTTATCTTTCCAATTTTTCATTCACTGTTTTAACTGTTTTGATTTTTGCATGCTGCCCTTGATGCTGTCACAATCAAAAAAGTTTCCTTGAACACATCAATTATCATTTCCTCTTTGCCTGATTTTAGGTACGGTAATCATTTAAATGTTTGATGTCATCCTCCATTGCTTGTTTCTACAACAACCACAACAAACCAATTTTCTTTGGTACAAATGCTACACTCTTTGGAGGTAGCACACACTGTACTGTTGTTAAGTTTTCAGGTCTTGCAATCCAAAGCATTTAGTTTGGCTTGTATTCAGTCTTACTACTGGGCAGCATATTACAGTAACAGCATATATTACTCGCTTTGAATATATTAGCACCTGTAAGGACCCGCTTCAAAACCTCATCCCAAGAAAGCAGAACTCTTGGAATGGAATCATCCCAAAAGGAACTTTTATTAGGAGAAGTTGATAACAGGCATAGAAGGCAAGATATGAGGGTTTCCCGCTCAAATCAACAGGTTAAAGGAGCAAAAAGCAAACCCCACCCCAATAGTTCATCCGGTCAGTTCAAACAGGCCAATCCCCAGGTGTTAAGTCCGCTGTGGGAATGAGACTGATAAGACTCCGTTCCCACAGCTGTGAAAACGTTGTTGGGTCTTCCAAAACTCCAAAGTGAATAGCATCCCCCTATCGAATATAATCCGTTGTGGGGCTCCATGTAGTCAATGAGCTGTACGAATAACCAGTGGCGGTGGGGATTTTCTGGCGTGGGATAAAATGTACTTGTTTAGAGAATAAGTCCAATACAACCCAAATTAACATATTTTCCCCACTGTCTGGTAATTCCACAATAAAGTCCATATCCCCTCGTCCAAATCGTTGATGAAGATGTTGAAGAGCACTGGGCCCAGAACAGAATCCTGGGGTACCCCATTACACACTTCCCTCCATGTAGATGCGGTTCCATTGAGGACCACACGCTGCGTACGGCCGGTCAGCCAGCTACGGATCCATCTGGTGGTGATGCTGTCTAACCCACATTTTTCTATCTTATCAAGTAGTAGGTTGTGATCTACTTTATCAAATGCCTTACTGAAGTCCAAGTAAATTATATCCACAGCATTCCTCTGATCCACTAATTTTGTCACTTGGTTAAAGAATGCAATAAGATTTGTCTGGCATGATATGTTTTTGACAAACCCATGTTGGCTTTTAGTAATGACTTTGTTTGCCTCTAGGTGTTCGTTGATTTGTTGTTTGATTATTTTTTCCAGAATCTTCCCAGGTATTGAGGTCAGGCTGATAGGTCTGTAATTTCCTGGGTCCATTTTTTTCCCCTTTTTTGAAGATGGGAACTACATCAGCTCTTTTCCAGTCCTCCGGTAGTTCCCCAGTGCTCCAGGATCTTTGAAAAATATAGTTCAGTGGTTCTGAGATCACATCTGCCAGTTCCTTGAGAACCCTGGGGTGTAATCCATCTGGTCCTGGTGATTTGAACTCATCTAGACTGGACAGGTGCTCACTTACCGTTTTCTTGCCTATCTTAACTTGCGTTTCTATTGTTTTTTATGGCACTATTTTTGGTAGGTTGGTCTGTTTTTTCCCTTTGTGTAAAGACAGATGCAAAAAACGAGTTAAATAGTTCTGCTTTCTCCCTGTTGTTTGTCACCTTCTTGCCACTTTCCCCCACTAATGGACCAATCATTTCCTTCACTTTTTACATGTTGAAAGAAGCTTTTTTTGTTATTTTTGACTTTGGTCGCAAGCCTTAGTTCATTTTGAGCCTTAGCTTTCCTCACTTCATCTTTGCAGGCTCGGGCTATTTGTTGATATTCTGACTTAGTTATGTGCCCCTCTTTCCACTTTCTATACTATTCTATTCTCTTCAAGGTCACAGTAGCTCAAGACCTCTTAAACACTGTCCTCCTCTGATTTAGCCAAACCAGAGATGAATTACCAGTCAATGAAAGTAATCTGGCCTCTTAGGACAACATGAAGACTGCAGAATTTTATTCAAGGCACTTCTTAACATTTGCCACTTTTTGTCACCTCATACAGAACATTAATAGCTAAAATGTTACCTGCTCTTTTTGCTTTTCTTTCCCTTTGGTGAAAGTATGGCACAAATGGAGGAAGTTTAGAATAGAATAGAGCTGGGACCTTGGAGGTCTTCTAGTCCAGCCCCCTGCTCAAGCAGGAGGACCTATACCATCCCAGACAGTTTCTCCTTAAGCTGGAAGGGCCTTCAGACACCAGCTGTCTTGTACTTTACATAATCTTGAGTGGGTATTTATGGCTCAGGTTCAGCCAATTACTTGATGAAATAATAATAACAACAACAACAATAATAATAATAACAATAATAACAACAACAATAAAGTTGGAAGGGACCTTGGAGGTCATCTAATTCAACCCCCTGCTCAGACAGGAAACCCTATACCATTTCAGACAAATGGCTGTCCAGTCTCTTCTTAAAAACTTCCAGTGTTGGAGCATTCACAACTTCTGGAGGCAGGTTGTTCCACTGATTAATTGTTCTAACTGTCAGGAAATTTCTCCTTAGTTCTAGGTTGCTTCTCTCTTTGGTTAGTTTCCATCCAAGATTGATGGCACAATTAAAAATGGTCTGCCCTTTTGGGAAGTATATCATATTGGACGTGATGATGTATGCCTCAACTGTATTCCATTTGACTAATGTAACACATTTACATAGGGCTGCCTTCACAAGAATTTGGAAACCTAAGATAATTCAGTTGAGGCCAGACAACAGAACAGATTCCTTTCCAGGGAACAGCTGATTTCTTAATCTAAGGAGCTTTGATGTTTTTGGTGCATTTCTGAGCACAATGGAAGTGATGTTATATACAAAGTCCTAAATAATTTGCAACCAGAAGGCTCACATTCCCCCAAATGAACTTGGCCTTGAGCGAGGCCCCCCTTTTTATCCTCCCTAATCACAGGGAATATGAAAAAATAAGAGGTTTTTTGGGATACACTATCTCTGTATCTTTCGGCTAATGAAGGCCAGATGAGTATTCTCTGTGGCAACTTTTTTCTTGCAAAGACAATTTTCTTTAACTTTGGCATTTAAATTGGTTTATTTATGAAATAAGCTTTTACTGGTTGGGTGCTATTTAGTCTTTAACTAACACATTTATAGTTTGCTGTGAATTAAATTTATCTTTTCCGATGCATATTTAACTGCTGTTAGTCATTTTGAACACCATTTCTGGCAGAAAAATGGGCAAAATTGCAATAGGAACTATTTCAATTCCTACCCCCTTTCTTGGTTTGGAAGCTATAATTAAAACCACCTCACTTAATTAAGGTATAAGATTATGTAGGATTACCCTGAATAATCTTATTCTTCATTAAGACTAATGAAGCTTGTCTGAAGCTATTCCCATAACATATGCAATCAACCTCTCTTCTTCCCCCTTAACATTTTTGCATACATGCCAGCTGGCCTTCAAACTTGCACCATCCCAATACCTCTCAGTAGGTGGCCAGCTACAGGTGAGAGGTTCACTCCAAAGAATTCTGCAGACCGAACTGCCCCTGGTTATTTTTGTTCTTGTTGTTTATTTTCTGAATGAGTTAAACGTCTGTAGTGAAGCAGTACTCTTCACTGGTATCTAGAAAAGTTTGATTCTCTTTAGTGAGAATTTAATAGCCTCATGAGCAAGGATGTAGCAAAACAGAAAATATACCCCTAGAGAAGGAAATGCCACCCTGATCATGCCTAGTCTGAAATTTTACTATACCCCCACTCCTGTTATAAACAAGTATCTAAAGAATTCTGATAATTGAAAACCACAAATCTTAAAGTTGCTAAGATTGAAAAACACAGATTCAAAGAATAATTTGTATCCTAAGGCATATGTGGAAGACTACAACTTGAAATGTAGGAAGACCACACAGTAAAAAAGTATAAATAATTGAATAAGATGAAAGATAGAAGGGTATAGAGATATACAATAAATGGTACAAAATGAAATTC